GGCAGAGGAGCTGGAAGTGCAGGTAATAGAGGTCTGTGGTCGGGTTCTAGGGCCAGAGCATCCGTCTACTCTGACCAGCATGGCGAACCTGGCTCACACTTTGTATTCCCAAGGAAATATGCACGAAGCTCTTGTGTTGATGGAAGATTGTGTTAAGCTTCGTGGCAAACTACTTGGGCATTCTCACCCGCACACCAGAAACTCCGCTCTCTCTCTCCAGCGCTGGAAAGAATTGGCCGAGCTGTCAACTAATCAACACCAAGCTCCCGGCCAAGCAGAATCGACTCGACCTATAGGGGACATCACGCAGCATAGTTGCTCCCCAGATTTAGTGATCACTGAAGCCGTTGGAAATGGAGAGTCTCCTAACCCGCCTCAGGGTACTATACGACCAGCAACGCCTTTGAGAGCCTTCCTCGAAACTCAACCCCTTCTTTTGGCTTCTCGATCTATTTCATCTGGAATGCGAGGGCATGACTTGAACGAAGTTGACTGAGTATTTCTGGTCACCAAGAGGCAATTTGAGTTTCATTATAATATAGCAAATGTATCCATATCAAATGTTAAAATAAAGGTAGTAGGCTACTGCAAGGTCCTTGTAAAATATGGTCAACCTTGCACAATGAAAGATCCGTGGCTATCACATTGCTTCTTGGTTACGTCATACAGTACTGTACTTCTGGCGTGGCGTATTATCCGTGCCTTTCTGCCCACCCACCGCCTTCGTCTCATGGGTGCGCCACGCATTTACCGTAGTCGCGCATTTACTGTAGTTTTTTATATTGTCAATATTATTACTTCTTGAAGCCACACAACATGACGAAATCTCCTGAATTCAATGAATCTCGATTAAATGGAGCCGTCACTATTGCTACAACCCAGAAAAAACCGAATATCGCGAGAATTGCGCGTGAATTCAACGTGTCCTACACCACCCTCCTAGACCGCCTGAAAAAACCAAGAACACCAGCTACACCAACACCATCGAAGAAGAACCTCCTACAGCCGTATCAGGAGAAGGCCTTGATTAGTTGGATTATACAAATGCGGAATTGGAACCTCCCCCCGACTGCTTCGATTATACAGGCGTGGGCAAATCAGGCGCTTGCCCGCGCGGGCTCAGAGAAGCGGGCAAGCAAGATGTGGCCATACTGATTTGAATCGCGCGTACCAGTACACCTAGGACTCGCGCCAGTGAAGCAAAAGACTAAGGAACTAAGGCGGATACAAGCAGAGGATGCAGGACTTCTCCAACACTGGTACGACCAGCTAAAAGACCTTCTTGACGGGGTTCCTCCGCGCCTTGTATACAACTTCGACGAATGCGGATTTCAACCTGGTCAGGGGCGAGCTCGCAAGGTCTTTGGGTCAAAGTCTTGCCCTAATCTTGCAGAGGGCGAGCGAGGTGAAAATATTACTGCTGTTGAATGTATTGGCGCGGATGGTTGGCTAATGGCCCCGTTCTTTATATTCAAAGCAAGCGGCAGTAATCATATGGAGGCCTGGTATCACGGCAGCGAGGTCCTACCAAGCGATACAATGACCGTGGTCTCACCAAATGGTTGGATATCAGATGAACTATCGCTCGCCTGGCTAGCAGAGTTTAATACAGCTACAAAGGATCGTACGAAGCGAGGCGAGAAGCGATATCTAATATTCGACGGCCACGGCTCACACCTTACGCTTGAATTCCTACAATACTGCGAGCAAAATAATATTATCCCCTTTGGTTTCTTGCCTCATTTAACACATCTCTGCCAACCTCTTGATGGAAAACCTTTTCTTAATTATAAGCAGCAATTCAGGCTTATAAACAATGATTTATCTTTCTGGGGTGGTAAGCCATATGGGAAGGCAGAGTTCTTGCAGATTATTCAACCAATCTGCGAGAAGGCCTTGACAAAGCGAATTATTCGAGAATCCTTTAAAGATCGCGGTATCTGGCCAGTTGATGGAAGACAAATCGTCATGCAACTTACCAACCAGTTGGTGATCCCAGATATATCAGTGCCAGAACTCCGTGGAAGCCCTACACCACCTCTATTACTCTCCTCCAGCGTTGAAAACAGTCCTCCAGCAACAATCGAGGCGCTTACAAGGAATCAGGCGAAGATTATGAAGGATATTACTAATATTTCAGAGAAGACGAAGCGGAACCTAACGAAGGTCTTTCAACACCAGATGCAGAAGCTAGAGGAACTCCAAATGACCCAGGAAGCAATTTGCAGGATTAGGACCGCGCAAGAGCCTTAACGCCGGCTTCCTACTAAGCGTCAGGTTAAACCGCTTAGTAGCAATGGGGTCCTAAAGACTGGCGATGCAATTTAATCAATTCAGGACCGAAAGAGGAAGGAGACTACGAGGGACCAAAAGCGGCTGGCGAAGCAGTTCGAGAAAGTCTATGGATTTCGGCCCACCCCGCGCTCGGAGGAACGAATACAGGAGGCAATTGAGAACGAGCTACGTAGTAGAGAAGCGGGAGAGGACTTTTTTATTGATAATTAGTGTTGTGGTTGTTGAATAGCTTCAAATATCGAAAAACTACGGTAAATGCGTGACTACGGTAAATGCGTGGCGCACCCATAAGACGAAGGCGTTTGGGTGCAGCAGTAAGGCACGGATAAAGCTTCAGTCGTTTTACAGCGCACGTGGCTCGGCTGACTGTCCGATATTGTGTGATTCCGTCTGAAACGAAGCGCAGATGGCCCTTTAAGTTAATATAGGTTTAGCGTATCTTGGCGTTTTAGGGTTCGGGAAAAGCATTCTGTGTCTTTTAGATGGGAAGCCGAAGGCGCTTCCCACTGATATATCCAGAAAACTACTGTACAGTACTCGGTATTGGAAGATCTGTGGAGCAGGTACCGTCCGACCCTGTTGGCGAAAAACCAGAAGGCATTCGCAAACGCGTGGTTGAACTGCTGCTTGCACCCCTGAACGGGAGCTAAAAGCGGCCCGATGGTGGTCCCGTCGGCAAGGGGTGCCGCACCCCAACAAAACGCGTCAGGGGCAACGAAGCTATTCACGTTTAAAGGGATAGAAAATCTCCCACCAAGCGAGTCAACACGCAGGAAAAAACGACTCAGAAATCGAGCCAGCCTGGGAGATGATACATTAGAGATTTTTGAAACCACATCTCCCAAGGATAGCAACGGACGCGTCACCACACAGGAACTCCGACGCTTGATCGAGGACCTGACGGAAGTCATCACCAACCAATCGGACACTATTAAGGAAATCAAAGCCGACCAGCAGGTGCTTAAAGCGCAAAATGTCGAGCTACAAGAACAGATCCTTTCACTCCAGGGACAACTCGAAACGATCGCAACAACCAGGGCCCCTGTAAAAACGTGGGCCGAGGCAGCGGCTGCCGCAAGCTAACAATAACCGACCGTGTCAGTTAGACAACCCCGGAAAGAACCCAACTGTGTCAGGATCAGCACTCGGCACACGTCCGAGATAGATGACGATGAAAACGGCGGGTTCCGGAGGTACCTGCCCACGGACATGGCCAACGCGAAGATCCGATCAGCACTGTTGAGCATAGACACCACCAAGGACGCGCAAGTGGCAGGGGTTGGCACAACCAAAACAGGATATGTTATTAGGTTTCGAGATGCTCAGTCGGCTGAGATGGCTCGGAGCAACACGGCATGGCTTGAAGAACTTGGAAACGAAACCAAGCTGGTAAAACCTCGATTTGGCATTGTCGTCCACCGAGTACCCACAGAAGACTTCGACCTCGAATTCAACAAGAAAGAAGGAATTGAGAAGATTCTAGCAGAAAATAAACTAGACGAGAAAGGGTTCGAAATTGAAGATATTGCATGGCTAAAGAAGAAAGACCGGCCACTGGGACAATCGGCATCCCTGGGCATTTGGTTCAACACGCCAGAGGCAGCAAACTCAGTCATCAAGGACGGATTCTTAGTAGGCCAAAGATACATTGGAAGTGTGGAGTCATATCGAGTCGAGTTGAAGAGATGCCACCGTTGCTAGAAATTTAGCCACCTTGCCTGGTCCTGCAATGAGCAAGCGAAGTGCGGTCACTGCAGCGGTCAACACGAACAACGCCACTGCCATCCAGGCCTGAGACCCAGGTGCGCGGACTGCAATGGAGAGCATCCCACCGGGGATCAGAGGTGTCATACACCACTTGACCCACGTTCTTCGCAATAACATCGTCAAACCTACGTCTACTCCAATTGAACATCATGAAATCCAGGGCAGGCATGGAAGCCCTTATCAACGACCACCAGAGCCAGAGCCTTGATATGCTCCTCATACAGGAGCCACCAATGACGGTGTACCGAACCCACGTGAACCACAGCGCCTGGAAACTCTATCGCCCGACATACTCTGACGAATCACCCCGATACCGCAGCCTCCTCTACGTAAATAAACGCATCTTAACCTCGTCGCACCGCCAGATTCGCTGCAACCACCCGGACGTGGTAGCGGTCAAATTATGGACAGTAGAGATACAATACCTGGTCTTCTTAGTCTACATCCCACCGCTAGACATATACCAAACGGAAGACACAACCCCAACTGAACCCGCAATCGAGGAGATTAAGAAATCCATTCAGCGACACTCAAGAGATGCGGGGAAAGTAACAAGACTTATCCTCACCGGAGACTTTAATCGACATCACCCAGCCTGGAGCCATCGCCCGGTCCACCGGGTCTTTACCAACCAAGCAGAAGAGCTGATCAACTTCTTCCAAACGTATCACCTCCAGTGGTGCCTACCGCGAGGAATACCCACCTTCTAGTCACTGAGCCACCCCGGGAAGGCATCAGTCCTCGACTTAACCCTCACCGACAACCCCACGAAGCTCATCAAATGCCAGTTGTACCACGATAACTACGGGTCTGACCATCGGGGAACATACTCGGAATGGGACCTACGACCAGAAGAGAGCAGAACCCCCAAGCCTAGGAGAGCATACGACCGAGCCAACTGGGAGGAAGTCGGACGGAGCATACTAGAAACACTAGGCGAACCCACGAATATTGCCACAACCGCAGATCTCGATCGCGAAGTCCAACGTCTAATTGAGGCTACAACCAGCGCCCTTGACGAACATATACCCCTACAGAAACCATCGCCATATTCCAAGAGATGGTTTACCCCCGAACTCAAAACCCAACAAGTGGCTGTCAACCAACTACGCAGGAAGTGGCAAGAGAGCTGTGCTACCAAGGGCCTAATAGACCCAAATACGGTAGCCCTGTTCCAGGACATGCGTTAAAAACGCCGCGAGTGGACCAGGACAATTGAACAGACTAAGATGTCACACTGGAAAGAGTTCCTAGACAGGGCTAGAGAGGGTCACCTGTGGAAAGCGGCAAAATACATGCAACCACGAGACACCTACTCCAACGTCCCGACGCTAAAGGTTGGAACTGAGGAGATCACGGACAATAGAGACAAAGCCAAAGCATTCCGTGAAACATTCTTCCCTAGGATGGCGGACGCCGAAGACGAAACAGTACCAGCGCCTGCGGAAGAGCTAGAATGGAAGCCAATCACCGAACTAGAGATCTACCGGTCACTCAAGGCCGCCAAAGGAACAACAGCCCTAGGGGAGGATGGTATCCCCACCCTAGTGTGGAAGCACCTGTGGAGCCACCTCCACGCCCACATCACCCGCCTTTTCTCAAGATCGGTAGACCTGGGGTACTACCCAAGACAATGGAAGCGAGCGATGATTGTGGTCCTGCGGAAACCTGGCAAGCCAGACTACACGGTACCCGGAGCGTACAGACCCATATCGCTACTTAACACGCTAGGGAAGATACTAGAAGCTGTCATAGCCCGGAGACTGTCATTCTGGGCCGAAACGCACAAACTCCTCCCGGACACGCAGTTTGGAGGCAGACCCGGACGCAACACCGAACAGGCACTTCTAGTACTTGCAAATGAGGTTGACCGAGCATGGTTACGGTCCAAAGTGGTCACACTCATCGCCTTCGATCTGAAAGGCGCTTTTAATGGAGTCAACAAACTGAGCCTTGATGTCTGCCTCCAAGCGAAAGGCATCCCGACAGTTGCCAGACTATGGATAGGAAGCTTCATGGAGGACCGATTCGCCAATATTAGCTTTGACGACTTCCAAACGGAGGTGTCCCCTCTGGAAAACGCAGGCCTCGCCCAAGGATCCCCGCTCTCCCTTATCTTATTTGGATTCTTTAACTCCGACCTAGTCGACCAGCCAGTGGACTGCCATGGAGGGTCATCCGCATTTATCGACGACTACTTCCGATGGCGAACCAGCCGCTCGGCGGAAGATAATATCACGAAAATCCAAGAGGAAGATATCCCCCGCATTGAAACATGGGCCCGTAGGACCGGGTCCTCTTTTGCTGCAGAGAAAACGGAGCTAATACACCTCACACGATCCAAGAGGCAACATGCGGTCGGACAGATTACAATGAACGGAAAGACAACCAAGCCAGCCAACACAGCAAAGCTCCTGGGCGTTATATTTGATAAAGAGATGCGCTGGAAGGAACACGTACAACAAGCAGTCAAGCGTGCAACCCGAGTGAACATCACCCTGGGGGGCCTAAGACACCTCCGCCCAGAACAAATGAGGCAGCTTTATCAAGCTTGTGTAACGCCGATCGTGGACTACGCATCAACCGTCTGGCATAAACCGCTGAGAGATAAGATCCACCTGAGGACATTAGGAACAGTGCAGCGGACAGCCTTAATTCGTATCCTCTCAGCGTTCAGGACAGTATCAACCCCGGCTTTAGAAGCGGAAGCGCACATTCTCCCAACCCACTTACGGCTCAAACAGCGCGCACAGATAGTAGCTGCCTGCCTTAGCACTCTACCAAAGGACCACCCGGCCCAGTCGGTAGTAGCCCGAGCAGCAACACGCAGCGCACACTTAAAATCTGGCCACCGGTTCCCGCTCGCGGAGACCCTGCGGACGATGGAAACTGACCGGTTACGAACACTAGAAACAATCGACCCGACTCCCCAACCACCATGGCAGACACCAGCCTTCGCTGAAATCGACATAGAACCCGACCGAGAGAAAGCTAAAGACAAAGCCTTGGCGAGGCTAAATGGAACAGGCATTGCTATCTTCTCTGACACGTCCGGACAGCGTAATGAACTAGGCGCGGCGGCAGTGCTCCTGGACCAGAGCCACCAGATCCTGCAGGCCCGGCAGATTAGTATTGGGTCAATGGAACATTGGTCCGTATACGCTGCAGAGCTTATGGCTATCTACTACGCCATTAGCCTGGCATTTTCAACAGCCATGAAGAATCAGAATACCCCAGCGACGGAGATTAACCTAGTAACCATCCTCAGCGATAGCATGTCAGCACTGCAAGCCATAGCAAAATACACGGAACCGGTCTGGCCAACGGATCATCCAGGCCATCACCCAATCAGCCAGAGAACTAAAGATGCGTGGGATTCCCCTCCGCCTCCAGTGGGTCCCAGGTCACTGCGGCGACCCTGGAAACGAAGCAGCTGACCGCCTGGCTAAGGAAGCAGTTGGACCAGAGACAAAGCACCCTTTTCAACATCTTTTGTCACGAGAAAAGGGTTTTATCCGTAAGAGAATTCGGAAGGAATGGGAACAAGAATGGAAGACCTCTAAAAAAGGCGGCCACCTCCGTCGGGTAGACAAGGACCTACCCTCAATCCGCACTCGGAGAATGTATGGCTCACTGCCTCGAAATCGGGCTTACTTGCTCACGCAACTCCGAACCGGCCACTCATGGCTTGCAACACATGGAAAACTACGCTGTCTCAGGGAGGACGACAAGTGTGAATGTGGTGCACCGGAGACAGTAGTTCATGTTCTCGTGGATTGCCCGAAACTAAAGGAGCTACGATAGAAACTACGAAGGAAGATCGGGGCGGCATTTATAACATCTCAGACATGCTCGGAGGATGGACCCAAGGTAAGGAAGGTAAGAAGCATGATATGCAAGACAGTAGCATCTTGGGTGCAGTACTAGACTTTGCAGAGGCATCAAAGAGATTTCAGAGCCGCGCGCCACCGGGCCGCTGAACGGAACACCAGGCAGGAAGGCCACCACAGGCCGTGACGAGGCTCCAAATTCGTCGGAAAGTAATGGTTTCCTGTACATAGACAAGCATAGAGAGTAGATAGTGGTGACCTGCATATCGCCTGAGGCGAGGGGCCAGCGTATGAATCACACACACACACACACACACACTGATATATCCAGCAAATACTCTTATCTACAATCTCCACTGAAACAACGGATGCCTCCACTCCAAATCCTCCACCTGCCTCGCACTCAACCCATCCAGCACCCCGTTCACATCCCCATCCACCCCTTCGCGCCTCTTATTATCCCACCGCGACCAAATTAACATCCCAACCCCGGTAAGCAAACAAGTCGCCCCCGTAGCAAGATTCAATCCATTCCCAATCGGATAATCCGGCCCATCAAAGGGCAAAAATGACCACGTCGCTATCAACCCGCCAATATTCCCCATCATCACCACCGTCCCGATTGACGAGGCGCGCGCTGTATCCGAGACAACGTTTACCGCTGCGTGCGCGTTACAGAGGACCCCTATAGGGAATGAGCCGAAGGCGATGAGGAATGTTGCACCGTAGCGCGCGCGGCTCTGGCTTGCTTCTGTTGCGAGGAAGATGATGTATCCTGTCATCATGAAGAGCGGGGTGACGATAAAGAAAAGCGTGCGTCGATCAAACCGACTACTTAGATACGGAACCACCAGTGTTGATACCGCCCCAACAATATTCGGCGGGACTGTTTGAAGCTGTTGCTGCACCGTGCTCTTTTCGGGAATTATTGTTCGCACGATTGTTGGGAGGAAGAAAGCTAGCCCTTGCACAGTTACACAGGTAAGGAGCATGATCCAGGCTGTGGCTAGGGTGATAGGGTTGAAGATTCCACGGAGGAGTTTCTTCTTGTCAAGTTTGTCAAGGACTTCATGCACGCCTGCGTGTTCGGATTCAGAGCGGACGCGCGCGATAGCGAGGTCTTTTTCTTCTGCCGTGAGCCACCGCGCTGTCTCGGGTCGGTCGGTTAGTGTTATAAATGCGATTAGTCCAACGCCGATGGTGATGATACCCTCCACGGCGAAGATCATCCGCCATGTCTTGAGGTGGCCGACCGAGTCAAGGGTTAGGATTGCAGAAGCGAGTAGCCCGCCAAAGGCGCCAGCGAGAGGAGCCATGACGAGGTACAGTGATAATCGGAATGCAAGCTCTTGCTTTCTGTACCATCGGGAAAGATAATATGATATCCCCGGCATCATTCCCGCCTCGAAGATACCAAGTAAGAAACGCACGCCCGCTGCACTTTCCATCGTCTGCACGAACGCGGTGAAAACAGAGCAGAGGCCAAAAGCAACAGTCAGGGCGGGGAGAAACCATCCTGGCCCGAGCCATTTGCATGCGATATTAGACGGGATTTCGAAGACGATGTACGAGATATAGAAGACCGAGAGGACGATGTTGTAGTCGTACCCGGTCATGCCGAGGTCTGCTTCGAAGCCGGCGAGTCTTGCGTTACCTGTGCTTGTCAGCTTCGTCATGTTCTCCCGGGTATATGTGTTTGCGGAAGCATACCAACATTGGCCCTGTCAATGAAACAGAAGAGATAAATTATTGCGACGGTGGGGACGATATACAAGTCTATCTTCCGCCGCAAGCGAGTTTCAGCTGCTGTATCAAAGGGCGGCGTGGTGTTATTGCTGTCACGGGTTGACGCATTAGGCCCTTGAATCTGAACATTAAACAGAAGAAAAGGAAATGCGTACTCTTCTGATGCCGCTGGGGATTCAGTCTGGCTCCTGCTCTCCTCCACATGGTCCACGATTCCTTTCTCTTCCGACATCTGGAAACAACAACAGAATGAGTATGGCAAAAATCCTATAGAGGAGGATCTCGGGAATAAAACACTGTCTGAGTAGCTTCGCCAGTGGAAAGGGTATGGACTGGGGGTTGCTGTATTATATATCACTTCGGCTAAAGTCCCCAGCTCGATAGTTACCGCCACTTCCCCGGCTCAGAGGTCAACGTGCGGGGGAATACGATCGTCTGCTGGGGGTCTGGGCAGTGGCTGACAAGTCACAACAGGTGGGGCTCGATTCATCTGACGGCAAGTACTGCTGAGACCCTATCACAGGTGATCCAGAAAATTGATGTTTGTGATGCAAGAGTACACTCTAGTAAGTCAACCTTGCTACCCGAGTACGATCTGAGTTGGCTACGATATACCTAGATCGAGGGAGCAGAGACTCTTCCGCCCCACCGGGTAATATGTCTTCGGTAGCTGCCAAAGCTGTCCTGAACCGAAACGAAGACTCATTCGGCACCTCGGCCGCCTTGGCAACCCATCATATCCACTCGGGTCCTTACTCCTTGACAATTTCCGGGGTCCGGTCCAATAGCAGCATTCCAGACTCTAGACCCTGGTCTGCGGAGATTGGGGTGGGGCTGGGGCTGGGGCTGGGGCTATACGCCTCGGGAGCTAGTATACGGCTCAACTGCCGAAACAATAAGCACTTGGCTGGGTACTTTCTTCCTGAAGGTTCTGCTGTCCAAATGTATCGATTGGGCCACGGCGATTCGCGGATGGCGCACTTGGGGCCAACAACCCGGTCGTGAAGTTTGTGTTTATTCGGGCGTTCGTTCTGGCCCATTTCTTGACGATCATGCTGATGATCTGCTGCCTCATAGTTTGCAGTCCGTCTATCGCCTGTATGGCGGCCTAACTGTCCGAGAAAATCGGCACCTCTCAGTGGTCCTGGAGTTGGGCCATCTTCAGCGCCATTTGAATTCCCACGAGTTCCTCCATGAGGACAGGCCTCATTTTTCCGACCCAGAAATATATAGCGTGTTTTGCTGGGATTGTGTTGCATAACCGTAGCTCCAACTCTCTCGTTGATTGCGCTCTTGTCGGTGCAGAAGATGAGTTTATCATTCTCTAGCAAGGTCTATTCGTGCGAATTTCTTGCCGTCTCTGCACTCCTAGTTATGTGTATTTCCAGAGTTTCTCCACTAAGTTGGGGTGAGGAAGGGTTTTCTTAGTTCCAGACTATCGACGACTTCTCGTCCTATTGTTGTTTCGCATCAATACTTGTGCCGTTCCAGCGGTCCCCATCTGTTGTGCATATCCTTCTAATCGTTTTGGTAGCCCGTCCAGCGCCCCTTGGCTTTGACATTTGGTTGGTGCAGGATCCGAAACCGTACGCCGGAGCAGATAAAGATTCTCCCATGTACGAATTGTTCGAGGGGAGCGATGGATATAGAGAGGCGCCCAGAATCGGATGCGTCAAGACAGGCTGCGTCGGCAGACTGGACCTTAGTGACCCATATCGTACGTAGAAGGGATCGTGTCGGCGCCAAACGTCAAGTCCACTAGATCATGATAACGAGGAGAAGGGGTCCCAAATTGAATATGGCGAGCCAAGTCCCGATGTCTAAGATGGATAACGTGCATCAGAACCACTATATGACCCCTGTGTGGTGTAATATGAGTTTAACCAGGAGAGGAAGATGCAGAAGTGCTCGAGATGTGATACCATCGGGATTTTGATGATTGATATCGCTATTGGAAGGCAAGTCTCCCCACCACCTGAAAAGGGGTAGGCCTATTTGCTACTATTCAAGTCTGGCCTTACAACCCACTGCGTTTGCTTTTTGAAATCCTCTCTCTCCTTGCCTGTCATAGATTTGAGGCCAGTTTCTCGCAACTCCGAAAAGAGCGCCAGAGCATCACTATAGAGGTGTTTTAGGGTCCACCCACCCCGGAATATAATAAGTGAAACTGAATTCCAAAAATCTTGGACATCGTTCCATCCCTCGCTTTCTTCTGAGTGGATACGAACCTCATCCTCCGTAAAATGAATAAGACATGGAAAGTCAAACCCCAGTTTTGCAATAACCTTGCCACCGCGCGAGAGAGCTTGTTTCACGAATTCGCTTCCGAATCCGCACACTGAAAAGTCCATCTATGCACACCCGTCCATCGCGACGCCATCGGAGGCACACGCGCGACCAAAGTCGAAAGAGCCGAGAACCGTCGGGATTATACTGCGAAGCACGAGATCATTCCTGGCCACAGCTATTTACGCTGCAGGTCAGTGTGATCAGTATCGAACTTCAAACCTGTTGGCTCAAACGGATGAGCCCGAAGGTTTTCGGAGTTTCGTAAGATGACATCGCAGGCTTGCTAACGCGAGATATGTGCATAAAATCCGCTTACCAAGATTTATACCCATACTATACGTAACTTAGTTGCTGTCTATCACGTCCTACGTGTGCAATAAGTTTTCATCTACAAGAAATCCCTCCCAGCCTCCAATCGGCTCTTTCCTTTGCTGCTCCGCATGTGAGGAACCACTGCAATAGTGTGTCTACACACTGACAGCGAGACCCAAAGCATCACTCAAAGACATGGAAGGATGGGATGAAGAAGAAGAGGAGCCGGGGAGAGGGCCACGAGCTGTACAAAACCTTGGAACTACACCATTGGCTTCCTTCACGGTGAGGAGTTTGCAAACAGGCGCAATAGACGTAATGCTGAGCTCCTTTTACGTGCAGCCCCTGGGAGTGTGGTTGATGTTCTTTGTAAATTCAGGCGTGTGGTGTAGCAGGATCGACCTTGAAAGCAATCCAAGGCAGGTCACAAGCTGTTGCTATCGTACAATCAATGCATATCAGTAGATATTCTGGTCTTCAAACTACTGTTTACCGGCTAACCGCCACCTTTGTCCTTAGACTACAAGGGATATATACACAGACCATGGGATCTCAACCAGAGACAAAGGGCCATGTAAACCTGGAACAAAAAGGCCGAGGAAGGCTCCAAAAATAAATCCCTTACCTTGCCTCGAGCGCGTGCAGGCTCATCCGAGTATCTCTATCATTAATCAGTGCGATGCCCTTTGTTACTCTAATTATAATCGCGTCTTTCGGGGGAGGGGGGCTATAGATAGGAAGAACCCCTCTTCCAAGCGTCGCCGGTGACATGGGTAGTATTATATTTCTACGACGCCAGGGCCTTAATTATACGCTTAACCACACTATTCCTCCATACACCTCTTGGAAGGATGCCTCCCGCCAAACGGGCGAAACGCAAGCGGCAAGATGAGCAAATCCCGGTCCCACTCCAGGCCCTCATCCGATCCGACCAAGACCTTATCAAACATACCGTCAGTCTCCCTGTAGGCGACTTGGACACCTTTTTCTATATTTCAAAGGACAACCAAGTCTTCTGGGGTGTCAACAGAAGCCGGTTACCGAGACTCGCCGCACGGAAGGCCTTCTTGAAGCGCATCCCAGATGACCGACTCTTCCCAAAAGTCCCCAAACCTAAAGACACGCACCTCACCATCGCCGCGCCGGGGAGCTATATTCCTGCCATGACCCAGGTCAAGTGCCCGAGCCTCGAGGACTACTACTTCCTTGACTTTATCGGCAGTAACTCTCGAGCACGCCAACTCTTCGCCGAAGCAATGATCATGGAGAAAATTGCGGGCTCCAAGGCGCATTTGCATCCAAATATCATCCGGTACCATGGCTGTCGCGTGCACCGCCAACGCATCACAGGCCTCGTTTTCGAGCGCCTGGAGTACAACATCAACCAGTATGTGCCGCAGCCCGGGTTCAGCACCCTCAACAAGAAGAGGTTTATCGCGAAGCTCAAATGGGCTGTTAGCCATATACACTCGCTAGGACTCGCCCATAATGATATCTGCCCGAATAACATCATGGTAAGGGAGACAGCAGGTGCGCAACCAGAACCGGTGCTTATTGACTTTGGCTCGTGCGCGCCATTTGGGTCCAAGGATTTGCTCACGTTTGGGACGCACGGGTGTTTGAGAAGTATTTTTATACCTCGGAGAAGAAACATGATACCTATTCATTGCGCAAGGTTGAGGAGTGGTTGAACAGGCAGTAGGAGCGGTTCTTGAGCTTGTTATTTTGGCGTCTGGCCGTGTATTTAATGTTTCACTTCCTGTTTTTATATTCTTTCGTCCGCGCCATGGCCATGTATATATTGCATATTGAGAATTATTTTCCCTCTTGTACACTTGCTATTTTTCTCGGATGAAAGGCTTCATGCGGTTCCGCCTCTTTGCATAGTCAAGCCGGTTCTGGACGTGGTTTTGCCTCGCTCGGCTGTGTACTCCGTAGGAGCGGAAAGTTTTCTCCAGCATTTTGGCTTGGCGCGATGTCCGATGTTACTGCGAAGGTAAAAAGGAAAAACAGAGGATCTGAAGGGAAACGGCTCAGAAGGAACATGAAGGGAAAGACTACATTGAAAGAAGCCATCTAAGGAACTTTGCGGTGGGCGCAGGTGAGCCGTGAGAGAGGGGAACTGGCCAAGAGCACGTGACACGGGACCAACTGTTCCAACAGAATCACGCACCAGATGTAGCCCGTGCACAGCGAGCCAAGAACCCCTCAGCCGACGATCCGCCTTTCGCTGACAACTCCATCATGGAGACAACTCGGCGGATGAACAGACGGTCGCGATCTGGTAAGCACACCCGACGTCTACCGGATCACTTCTCACACTATTTGTACCCCGTACAGGCTGCTACACCTGCCGAGCCCGAAAGGTAAGGTGACATATCCCGCTCGAACCAACCCGCGACAACTCGCTGACTTCTTTTTGAATGCAGGTAAAATGTGACGAGCGACCGAACGGATGCGCCAATTGCGAACGACTCCGGCTAGATTGCTTCAGATACAGACAGTCATCCCCTTCCCTGCCTAGCTCGCGCCCGAAATCAAGACGAACGTTCCGATCGTGTACCGAATGTCGTGTGGGCAGAGCTAAGTGCTCTGGCGATCGACCGGCGTGCTCCAGATGCCGGGATAAAGCGTCTGAATGTCGGTATGGAGATGGGGGAGAGCCGGCCTGGCGGCGGCGTCTCTCGTCGGTATCGGGCATCGCTCACACGGCCGATGATCCAAGGGGCGCAAACTCGGCGCAGCCAGGAGGAGAGGCAGAAGCCCCGGCGTTAACATGGTAAGCATGCACCCAACCCACCCCACCGATACCTGGAAAAGCTGATCGGTGGTAGGTTGACATCGACTTGCCTACCGCATAAAGCGAAGGTCTCGGTACTGGTTGAGAACTACTTCGCACATATACATCCAATACGTTGCTTTGCGTTCCTTCACAGACCGTCGTTTCTGCGGAGAGTTGATGAGGAAATAAGTCCGAGCTCGAGTCCCTCCGCCCTCCTCTACATTATCTGTGCTTTGGGCGCGCAGTAAGTCAATTCTCATGACATCCTGTTCGTCGTTGACCGAGTTAGATTCTATGCCCTGGAATATAGTACCGTCACTCAGGCGCTTCCACCAAAGTTCATACTGCGAGCTGGCCACCGCTGGGCAGAGAAGGCATACAGCATGATTCTCCAAGAACTCGACAAAATATCGATTGACAACCTCATGGCCACCCAGCTCCTATACGACTATGCACTCCGAGTAAACAACTTTGCACAGGCGTTTATGCTTGGCGGCCTCACAGCACGCATGGCACAGGCTCTGCAAATCAACCTAGAATATTCGACCGACGTACTCTGCCAGGAAACAGGCCGCAACCTCTCCGTACCCGAACGAGAAGCGCGGCGTCGCCTAATGTGGAGCTGCTTCGTGACCGACGCCCTCCTAGGAAGCGGAGTTGACCAACTCACCCTGATCGAAGAACGGGACATAAAGATCCAACTACCCTGCAACGAACAAAGATTTATCCAAGAGGTTCCCTGCATCACTCGCACCCTGAGTGGTAGTTTGCTCAGCTTCATCCGGCCAGACTCTATTCCACCAAATCCTGAAGAAAACATGGGCATAATGGCCTGCTTCATCCAGCACATTCGGATCCGCAAACAAGTCCTCCGGTACATCAAACACCTTGACACTGCCATATCTCCCTGGCTTCCAAACTCGGAGTTCGCCATTCTCGACCAGGCATGCACCGACTGGTACAACTCTCTCCCGCCAAACCTCCAGTTTGTCGAATCCACTATATACACCCGCAAAGCATCCTCACAGCTCGGAGCCCTCGTCCTCCTTCATTGCTCTCACCATCAGACCCTCTGTGACCTGTACCGTCTTGGTGCTCCCGCGCTCTTCAAACTTCGCTCCGCAATTGGTTTCCCACCAGAGCAGGGCGGGTATCTTCAGGACATGCGGTGGAAGCTTTTCCGGGCTGCGAAGGAATTGGCCATCATTATCGGCAAAGCCGAGTGCCACGGGCCGCACAACCTCTCCGACACGTGGCTGCCGACCATCACCTATGACAGTTCACGAATTATGTTGTACTATCTCACTCAGCTAATCGATCCTCGGGAACAGGATAGTAAGGACCTAGTCGTTCAAACTATTCCATACCTCCAGAGCAACATACGTGCTCTGAAAGCCATGCAAGCATTAAATGCGACTTCGGAGTCTCTGGTGCGCACCCCTCTATCCCTGGTTTTAATCATAAGGCCGAAGGCAATATTAATGATAGCATTTTAGGCCCACGCTGCAGAAACAATGCTACACCGCCTTGGCTCAGAGGCTGAAATCGCGGATCAAAGCAGAAGCACAAACATCGTTCCCGACGAACCCTATCCGCCAGACCCCGACGACGTCGCCGGACGGCAGAGCCCACCCGGAACGCCCGCACAGAGCGCGCCGGACTACGTGCTCAATCCACTAACGATATACCGCATGGCTCGTAGGACGATTCCGGAGCGCCATGCGCCGGAAAGGATTGCTTCTACTTCTTCCGCTATTGAAGGGAATTCCGCTGTAGCGAATGATATTTCCCCGCCAACACTTACTGAGGCAGATGAGCTGATGCTTTTCACGTCGGATCTGGGGTGGACGTGGCAACCTGCAGAAACGACAATTGGGTCTGGGCTGGATCATACTGGGCTCCATCCGTGGATTGGAGGAATGGGCATACAGAACAATTGGTCCGAAGCAGGCGGGTTATGGGGTCATCACTTTCCATTCGGGACATAGAATGCCGACATGTATACAGGCTCAGAATGGACGATACTCATTTACTCCGCATCCAACGGGCACTTTGGCGGCTGATCGTTAACCTGGACACCGCCTCTCTTTTTGTGATCTGAGTCGGGAAATGGTATCTTCCAGCCACCTTCACTTTCAGGCGCGGCCAGCCAAAGCCTCATGAGATGTCTCTGTGGTCTCGGGTTTCCTTCCTCATCAAGCGACCCAGCCGGATAATCCGTATACGCCGTTCGCGCATGGAAAATGTGTGGATTGTGCAGGAGCTGGATGTCACCGGGCTCGAGGATCATGTGCAGCGAGAGCTCCTTGCACGTGCGTTCCAGGACATCGAGTGCATACTTCTGTTGCTCAGAGAGAGGCGGAATCTTAGCATCTGGTCCAGTATTGAACCGCGATAGGGATGTGACGTTGTTCGGGTCGAATTTGTTGTACACCCGGGGTGGACGGTCTGTTGTGTTTTCGAGGTACATCACTGCCCCACGATACCATTGCTCTTGGCCTTCGGATACCTCGCCTTTACGATCGAAGTACCAGATTGGGTCGACGAGAGTTTGCACGACGTCGGGATGGTGTTTTTGAAGGTAATTGAAAACGTTGTGTGTGGAGACAATGTCAGATTCGCCGCCTGAGAGAGATTTCGCAATGCATAGGAGGCCAACAAAGTCGCCAGCGTCTGTGTGGAAGAACTGTCTATACACCTATCAGTCACATTCCCGCCCATTCAGCTTCTGCCGGTTTGAGTATGTGAATGCTCACCTGGCATTCGTCCGGTAAATCCGTACTCGATGCGTCTGCGTCGGATCTTCGCCAAGATCCTTGACATGGCCCAGCACATGCCCGCGCCCATTCTGACTAACGAAATATCCCAAGTACGTACCCAGGCCCATGTACGCAACAGCCGACTTGTGCAATCCCCACTGTCGCACAGGCAAATTGCGGAACCGGAAGAACCCTTTCCCATTCAGCAGGTCCTCCCGCAGCGCATCCATCCGCTTCGCAAGAGTAGGAAGAGGGAAAAGCGCCTTTTTGATTCCCGTCAGCGGCGTTCCAGACTCAATGAAGGCATCCGACGTCGCGCTGATTTCAGCGACTTCGTCGTCTGTGAAGGAATGCGTCCAACTGTCTTCGTTGTCGACATAGTCTGCAGCGTGCCACACTGTGGGACCGGTTATTTCTTTGGGAAAGTCCTCGTAGGGGCGCACAAGATTATAGTTAGGTGGGTGCTGGCCTGAAGTGATTAGACCGTCGGGGAAAAGGTCGAGGGGGAGAGACGTCGTGGTTGTCGCTCTAGTAGACATTTTCTCAATTCTGTAGTGGACGAGTTTGCAATTCGGGGACGACGAGGGGCTCTTTATATCATTCTCGTGCGATGGTGGTGGTCGCATGCGGCACGCGGGTGCGATCTACTCCAATTCTGCTGCCGACGATCCAGCCGATGATCCGCTGCCTCGAAATTCAGCAGCCACTTTCCGCAACACTTAACCATAAGCTGTCCCAGACATCTGTCAATAATCGACTATACCTGTGTGAGTCCGGTATGACCGTCACTGGCAGCGCAAATCTCCAGATGCAGCCCTTGTCTCAACGATGCCGTTTGTCGCAGTCGTTTTCATGGTTTTCGCGCGTAGCCGATGGCGCGCCCGATCGCTGCCTGTCACGCCATTCGGGCTAAAATGCAGCGATTCTGGCTCGTCATAACTTATTCAAATATATTCGAGAACAATATGACATGCGAGGTACAATGCCGCTGTCTAATAGTTTGCAAAGGAACCGTCAGAACTCGGTGTGCTGCGGACCCATGTAGTTTCGATGGGGGAAAACACAAAGGAATTGACTCGCCTCAAGAGCAGCATGTTGTCTTCCAGACTCTGCAGTTCCTATCAGGACCAGCAACATGAGCACCTGACTGATTGAAACTAGTGTGTCGTATGTTCGTTTCGAATGAGCATGAGTGGGCACACGGTGGCGACGATCCCTTCTTTGCTTGAGTGGCTGGGGCAGTGAATGCGCTTGAGTATATCGCATTCATCGCATTCTCGTTTCAAGGGTCCAGCCGTCTCTTCAAGTAACCGCGGACAACCATCACTGCCCCATCGTTAGCACTTTGTTCGGGCTGAAGCTCGAAAAATAAGGACGAAACGAGGAGCCGCGCTATTGGCCGCCGAGCGCCTTGGCGACCGCTCATTCGTTATGCTGCTCCTTCTGTGGGTCTCGGTCCAGGCTGTGCTCGCATTCTAAACGAGCGCCAATCACAACTAAGATCTTTCATGAGAGTCACTATACAACGAAGCCATGCCTCGCATTCTCGCATAGCTGCAAGCGCCTCTTCACAATGTGCTCGTTGTCTATTGGACGTAGCGGCGTCAACACCTAAACGAGCTATGCGACAATGCGATCGACGGAGGCTTAGATCTAAGGCAGAAGCAAAGCGTGCCTGGACCAGCCATGGCCTGCGGTATATAACCAGGTGCTCGATCCCATGGGGCTCATCACTGAGGGAATATTGTTAACCTTAAACTGACCTGAATACATCATACAACACTCACACCATGTATATCGACCTCTCCAATCTCGACAGACGGGCAGCACCCCCTCCCGAGGATCCAGATGACTGGAGTCTCTACTTCTACGACCCGTCCCTCGCCGCGGCCGTAGTCTTCGCCGCAATTTATCTTGGTACCTTCTTCTACCACCTCTACATCTCCTACCATGCCTATCGAAATGACAAATACTTCCGCTTCAGCTACTCTGTTCCCCTCCTCATCGCCGCCCTGGCCGAAGTCAATGGCTACGGCCAACGTGCCGGATCCACGCAAGCGCACCAGGATATCGGCCTCTTCTCAACCTCGCAGACGATGATTGTGCTTGCTCCGGTGTTCGTCTGTGCTTCGCTATACATCCTGCTCAGCCGCATCATCCGCGCCGTCCAGCCCGAAGGGATCGACGAGAAGGAAATCCGGGTTCTAAACGGCTGGATCAAAGTGATTTGGCTACCCAAGATCTTCGTCACCCTAGATATCCTCTCTATGCTGACGCAAGGCGGTGGAAGTGGAATTTCGGCTTCGGGTGAATGGGAGGGCACATTGCTGGATATCGGGATTGGTGTCCTCATCGGTGGATTGGCGCTGCAGCTCGCGACGTTTACCGTCTTCCTTATTGTCGTGATTAAGTTCCATGTCACCTCGAGCCGCCGTGGACCAAAGCTGGAAGACGGCATGGTAAAAGTCATACGTGGTATCTACATCGCGGGATTTTTCATCATGGTACGCAGTCTCACTTCTCCCACCCCTTCAAGCACCCATACTAACCACAGTAACTCATCCAGGTCCGATCCATCTTCCGCCTCATCGAATTCGCGTGGGGCACCGAGTCCTACATCATGACAAATGAATGGCCCATCTACGTCCTCGAAGCTGTCCCCATGTTCATCGCCTTCATGGTCCTGGGTTGGTACCACCCATCCCGATGGTTGCCAGCGAATCTTGCCGGGGAGTCGAAGGGACGTGCATGGTTGTACAACCACCGGACGCGGAATCTGCCAGAAGACGTGAGGATGAGGGAGAGGTCCAGGTCCCGGCGCAGGGAGAGAAAGCGTCATCAGAATCTACCCAGTGTGTAGGTACTTGGTATTGGATATTTCGCACTTGGTACTATGTACTTCGTGGGTCAGTGGAGCATATTTGTGGGGATGCATGGGCGGAGGATAGGGACAACGGGAGAAGAGAGGTGTCTAAGTGGTGTTGCATACTGTTATGGGAGTCTCTTTCGTTTCTGGAATCATCGGGTTTTTTTATCGGTATAGCGAGCGCGCTGTTCTTTTTCTCCTTCTTCCTTCTCATCCTATATTACGTGTTAGAAGTGCCGTCTGTTTATAGCTATCGTATGTACCAGTTTTACGCCGGAATAGATATACTATCAACGATTCAATTATCACCGAGTTGATCGATCTCCAATAACTCCGTAGAAAAGCGATAGATAACGCCTGGCTGTACTATTCTTGATACGCAGAGACCGAGAATCTGGTTGTCGTGTACGGGAAGATGCAAAGAATGGAGCGAGATAGTCTATATCTATTCAACATTATACAACACCATCTCCTCCGGTGGTATCCGCTTGCGCGCCCACTCCATAAACGCTGGAATATGATGCAGCCACATCGGGAAATTCTCTCGATGCGTAGCGACTTCCGAAAGAAGATGCACGGCGAGCACCCTGAGCGTGTCGACTACCAACTCCTGCAATGACTCCGGCAAGCCCGCGTAAACCGTCTCAGCCCAGCGATAAATCATAAAGTGACCTCCGCCGTATTTGAGATTCCGTGCGCGGCCAATCTCCGTGTGGACAGGTAGCAGGAACGAGTCGACGAGGATGTAATGTACGAACAGTGCCCGGGAGACGTGATTTCCAGGCGCAATGAAGGTAAGGAACTCAACGTTGTCCATTAGTCCCCATGTTACGTAGATCATCGAAAGCCGGGTAAATGCATCCCGGTGCGACATGACCATTGCTTGATAGGCGAGCCGGAGCGCGTTATAGAAGGCGTGGTGGGCAGGTGACTGTAGAAATGGCTGCAGACTATCGAGGGCTGCGATGCATGAAATTATCTTGTCCTCATCCTGGATATGTTGTGGCTCCCACGGTAGCCATGACGTGATCATTTGTATCGTGTTGTCATTTGACTGTATTGGGAATATGGCGCTGTCGCGACGTTGCTGCAGGTACCACTGCGTGACGAGGCCGCAACCGCGGACCATCACAGCAAAGTCGACCACACCGTCGCTCATGTGATGCGCTTGGAAAGTAAGTGTATAGCAAGTTGCGAGTGCGCCATCCATCTCGGCAACGGTACTGTCGTCTCCTTTCGCGAGTACAGCACTGAGTGCCTTTAGGGCTTTTCCGCGATGGGCGATGGCGACGGGGCCATACTGTGCTCCGTTTGGTGCGGTTAGGGAGCAGTGCGAGGCGCCGAGGGAGAGCATTGCGTGAAGGAGGGCAGGGCACTGTATGGCTTATTAGAGAATTGTCGGCAGGAGCTGGGGACTACACACTTCGTGAGCAAAGGCGGGTACCCGAGATAACCAGGCGTCCTCACTACCAAACGGAAGATGCGGCCGCGCGTCGATGAGAAAGTGGTGCCAAAACCGCAGATCGTCTCCAGTGAATGGCATTGTTGACACTGGAGATGCCCCCGGACTCGGTGACGAAAGTTCTCCAGATCGTGGCGATGCCGAGTGCGAGGATCTCTGTATCTGAGACTGTGTCCGGCTCGCCACCAGGCTTCGCCCTTGACTTGCGTCGGTCGGATAAAAACAGTCCAGATCTTTATGTATGCAGTTGGCGCACGCCGGCTTTGTTTCCTGACACTATCCTGTCGTGTTAGACGCCGCCACAGCGAGAGGTTCCCGCCGGCGTACCTTGATCCTCCGACTTTTGCAATTGAAACATCCTCCTCGGGATTTTGTATGCGGTCGCTTAACACGATTTGTTCGGGGTTGAGGGGTCGACGCCTTCAAGACTGGCTCCGCGGGCGGGGTCGGTGTCTTGCTGGAAAGGTCGCCGCTGGCGATGGGGACTGGGGAGTAGCGGAAGGAAGGAGTAGGAACGAGGAATCCTGGCGACACATCTTGCGTATATTCCATCTCCATCGTGAACCTGAGAGCTGCTGTACCCGAATCGAAGCTCGGCATGAGCTGCGGAATCAAGCGAAAGTTTTGAAAAGACAGAAGGGAACTCAGCAAACTGCAGGCTTAAGATCGGACCCTGACTCAGGCAGCACCTTTCTTCGCCGAATACGAGCTTGAGCCATGGTGGCAGCCAATCTAGACCAATGGCTTGCGCCGTCGGGTCTTGGTATTCGGTTTAACGCGAAAAGGGTTGCTAAAAGCCGACAGCGTCAAGACAAAGAGGTTTAAGTGATTGGAGCATCCCGGGATCTTCGCCAGCTTAACCAGGGATATGCAGTAACACAGCCACCGACCGTCGTGGGCTGGTCTGGGCCATCTGATCGGGCACACGCTTCGATGCGAGAAATGACGTCGTTAAAAACGCGCTCTCGATGGTCATGGGAGCCATGGGGCTGATTCAGCGACAAAGTTCGATGGATGAAGAGAAAGAAGGGGTCGGAAAGGGGCAGGAGATGGGAAGTGCTAAAGGGGCAATTGCAAACAAGCCTGGCACGTGATGGCATCACAGGCCAGAGGAGGACTCTTCCGAGTTGTTTCTCACTAGGTGATCTTTGAAGCGGACCTATTCAGTCAAGAGAGACTTCACTGATTATTCTCGATATCACCATGCTGAACGATACAGGTCACACGTCGATATAGATTCCCAGCCAAATAGTATATCCGGCAAACACCTGCCTTGCGAGAGATTCGAAGATGAGAGGAGCGCGTCGACGAGCAAATCATGGGAAATCATGGGTAAGAGGCTCCGTTGCGAAATTTGGGGTGAGCTTGACCCAATTATCGGAGTAAGTTGCGCTGGTGGAGGTTGTCGATCTGAGTTCGCTTTCTAAGTTGTCGTCTTTAACTTCTGGCGCCGAAATGCAGAACACTCGACCATGAGACTAGATTTGCGTCAGCGTCTTCAGCAGTTGCAACCTGACAAACGCGTCCTACTTATGGCACATCCAGCTTGTTATTCGTCGATATCGCAACCATCGACATCAAGACCCATCATGACCCATAAAGAAACTGAGCGAGGCCATTCCGGTGCATACTTCGTTCTCGCTCCCTCCCCGGATGCAGTCCTGTTCTGGCGCACGGTACATAACTGAAAGACCTTTAACGAAATACCTTAAAGTTGTCGCAGTGTTTTTCGCGCATGTGGATCGCCTGTTTCGCCGAAAGGACCACTCCCCATCTCTAGATCTGGATACGACTTTGGGAAAAGCCATAGGCGGCTCTTGATCAGACAGCATGCATTGCGGTGGGCCCATTCACAGACAGCGGACCGCGACTCCACTAGTGCTCCGATACTTGACATGACGGCGGATACAATCTTTATGTCAAGCATGATTGATAGATCTGGAAGAGAGCGTGTGCGAATAGGTGCAATGATGGGCAATGCCGAGTCGAATTTTTTTCAGCTCTAGGTAGACTTCGAGTTCCCTCCGGGATATTGAGGGAATAGAGTCTGTTGAGAACCCAGTTACTAACTGCTGCTAGTATATATACTTCCGGGAATTATAGACCCTCCCTCGTTCCGCCTCACTCGAGAACACACCATGGACCCATACACGAGTCATCGCCATCGGACCGTCAGTACTGAGGCACCTACTGCACCATTGCCATCAGACTAGAGCACAGCGTCCGTATATACGCATGGCACCTGTGAGACTGACAAAACCGTCCGGAAAAGGATCGTGACGGTGGTTAGCTATGACGCGCAAAACTTTGCTCGTCCCCAAGCTTCCGTTAAGGACCACGTCAACTTGAGACGATTCGAAAAAAACGTTTGAACTCTCTATGAGGCGAAGTTAAGGTTCCCCGTCAAAAGACTGGCCCGTGTCTTCGACGACTGGATGGCCAATGGCGCTGTTCTAGCCACCTTGTCTAGTTTGTTCGACCATTGACGTATCACCATACTCGCATGCTACTCATAACTCAACTCGAAGTTGATGTAGCAGAGGTCTGTGCCCGAAACGAACGACGAAATAACCCTGGTTGGAAAAGCAGAACCGAACGCGGTGAGCTTGTATCGTTTGCTTTTTTTTTATGGACGAGCAATAAAGCGAAGTGGAAGCCATGGGTTATTTACTGCTGCTGGCCTCTCAAGTTCCCATAATAAGTGAGAAGTAAAGTGCGATAAGTGAGAGGTAAAGTGTGTTGGGTGTGACATGACGTTGATCTGTGGAGCCCACAAAAGCGCATGATATGAACTCTCAACAGCTCCCTTTTCCACCTCTTCATCTCACTATTGTTTCACTTACCATCAATCCAGTCTCGAGCGACACGCAATCAATCCTCAACTACCACACCTGGCGATGCCCGACACCGCCAAAACACCGTACCCCTTCCAGTTTGCGGCTTCCCTAGAAATGACGTCACCGCCAAACACGCGGGGTCGGATCCCCTCCCTGCAAACCTCGCGCCTCCGAACGATGATGCTCGAAGCTTACAGCGATCCAACAAAGATCCTTGCCTTTCCATGCAGCTACGATGGCTTGTCCTCCCGACTTATCGAGGAAGCGGGTTTTCCTATGCTCTTTCTATCAGGATTCGCGGTCTCGAGCGCACACGGCCTGCCGGACACAGGGTACATCGCGATGGCGGAGATGTGTGATAAGATTCAGGAGACAGTAAGGGTTACTTCTCTGCCTGTGATGGTTGATGGAGATACAGGATATGGGAGCCCGATGAATGTGAAGCGCACGGTCGAGTCCTTTGCTGCTGCTGGGGCTGCCGGTGTTATGATTGAGGATCAAACATGGCCGAAGAGTGGGTGTTCCATGGGTCCATGTGGATATCTACATTCCATTCACAAGTTTTAACCATTTGCTGACTCACAAGTGCCCGATAGGATGCGGGCACACGAAGGGCAAGTCAGTCGTCTCTCGAGGAGAGGCTTACGCTCGAATCCAAGCCGCCTGCGACGCTCGAGACGAAGGACGCGATATCTTTATACTTGCTCGGACGGACGCATTGATACATGGATGGGATGAGGCAATGGCACGGGCGCACGAGTTCAAACGGATTGGTGCTGACGCTGTGTTCGTGGAAGCACTGCCGGATCGCGATGCCATGGCGCGCTGCGTCCAGGAACTTCAGATCCCAATGCTCGCGAACATCATCGAGGGTGGTATGACAGAGAACCTCTCCGCCAAAGACCTAGCAGGATTGGGATTTGCAGCAGTTGCGTATCCTTGGACACTGGTCGCGGCAAAGCTAAAGGCCATCCGTGATGCGCTCGAAGGGCTCAAGCGAAGCATGGCCGAAGGAGGACCACCGCCAATGATCATGGGGTACTCTGATGTCTGTGAAGGCGTGGGATTCAACAAGTACTGGGTGAGTGGGACGAAAATCTGAATTAGGTCACAACTGACGCAGATAGGATCGCGAAACACAGTATGAATTTGATAGCGACGGACTAGTTAACAAAAACTCGTAGCATTTAGAAAAGAAGCGATTGCAATGGATCGAATATCAGTTGGATTGGGGTCGTGGCGGGGTATGATATCAGTGGCTTCGGCATTTTCCTCAGGCACACAGGAACCGTCATACCCACTCCCCACCGATCGCAAGCTCCCCACAGGCGATCAATAAATCTTAAATTTAACAGCATCAGCTCCATCAGTCTCCGTTTATCCTCTAATCTCCCACAAGTCGCACGAGTTTGAGCCAGAGCCTCTTATAACCGCCTTCTTGGCCAGTGCGAACAGCGAAAATGACCCAAAAACTCTTCATCCTGATCTACAAGGGCGAGCCTCTGGACTACACCGAGTACCGCCACACAGCACTCTACTTCCACTTCGCCTCATCCACTCGCGCAATTCTGCATATTATCGGCTGCCCGGGTCTCTTCCGCTACACACACAACGTCAACGTGGACCCGTCAAGTCTCGGCGATCTCGTGAAAGTCGTCCCCGTGACAGAAATTCCCACATCCATCGCCGAGGACTCAATATGTGAAACCGTCTCGCGGACGCCAATCCGAAACGGTCGACTGGACCTCGACTGGAACTGTCAGAACTGGGTTGGTGATGCCTTGAAACGCCTTGTTGATAGGGGATGGATTACGAGCGAGCAAAGGGGAATGGCGATTGATCGCATGGCGGACGCGTGTTTGGAGGCGGGGGATGATGGGTCGATTCCGGTGTTCTAAGGACATCTATGTATTGTGATCTTCTCTCATTCTTTCTCTCTTTGCTGCCCTCTTTGGGGACACCTTCTTCCCATGTGCTTCTAGCGGAAACTCCTGAATCCATTCCTGTTTTCTCACGCGGACTGCGAGAGTTTTGGAGCCTCCGGTCGTCGGCTGCAACTTCGGCCTCAGGATTCAGGCTTTGGGGCGGAATAGAAAACGAACTCCCTCACAGCCCGTCATAGTTTTCTTCCAGTCACATGATACCGGCTTGCGACTTTCTAGCTTTGAAACTTCTTCTTCCATTCTCTTCTCCTCTCCGCCCTGCTCCGTCCGCTCTGTCCCCGTCCCCTGTCTCCTCGCGACTGAGCTCGCTGGCACATCCATAGGTAGTATCTGTTCTTTTCGCAACCGGACTGTGATGAATCTACTCTCACGTATAGATGTACCACCAGGCTCTGACCTTGGGCCGGAACACTAGTTGAGCTCTGAGTCCAGACACCATACTCAGTCCCCCTCTTCTCGGGTTGTTTCTGTGTTCCTTCCGTGGTATCTTTTGTTTCCCTCGCTGTCCCCGAGCTATTGCTTCGCAACTGCTTTGTCTCGATTCGTTGCGATACCTTGTGATACGAGGCCACTTGGCTGGGCTGAATCCTACCAACATTGCATATCCTGCACGTAGATCAGGAACCAGACTGTTGATGCACTACAGTGCTAACTTTGCATTGTCGTACAAGAGCCGTTGAAAACACACCCCGTATCACATAGCGACCAATGCATTCCTCCTGTAGCTGTCATACCTCGTTCCGGAAACACAGGCTGTCGCGCGTTGTACCGCCAACTACGTTTTCTCTCCGCTCTAGTTCACCAGTGTCATCAAAGTCAGGGGCTTCAACAAATCGTCAAGAAGCATTATGGCAATGCTTCTTCCATGCTGTACAACCAGTTCTTGGTACGCTCATGTGGAGTAGACCAGCGACATGTATCCCGGAGTATATTTACCGTTCGAGAGCAATACTTCCCTATCCAGTAAGAGTCCCAGAAACCGCGAGTACTTTCATCACTATCACATTGACTGCAGATTTCGAAGCCTCTCCAGAGCTCGGACGGTGGATAAATAGCCGCAGCGCACTCGTTGGCGGCCTCGCGTCCAAAGAACGCTTGAAAAATAAACCGAAACAGGCTTGTGATTGTACCTGCATGTTTCGAGCCTTCAAAGCTAACAGAAATGTCTATATAAAGCCCATCGACCAACCCCCAAGCCTCGAAAGCAACCACAACCAACCATAACATCACCGCAGCCATGCACTCCATCATCATCACCATCATTACCTTCTTCCTCGCGCTCAGCGCGTCCGCATCCCCTTACCTCCCACAAACGACCTCCACGCCTCGCCGCTCCCTGTCCTGCGCGCAAGTTGCCACGTTCAACCACCGCCTCGACAACATCCTACACACCCGCCTACCGGCCGCACTCTCCAATCCCACAGTCGCAGGAGTCCACGACGAGCTCATCGCACTGCAGACCTTCCTGGAAGCTTACCAGGGCCTCGTTAAGTCCCAATACAGCTCCTGCTCCGGCCGCCGCGACGTCTCGAACAAGGAACACAACCTTGCCGCGCGCCAGGCGGGCAATGCTTCGTTCATCTGCCAGTTCCTCGAAGCTATCTTTGGTGACCCCGAGGATGGCAGCTCCTCGAAGGGGGTCATCGCCGCGAGGACCGCGGCGCCCGTGCCGAATGCTCCTGCTGTCACGGCCATGGCGGTTGGCATGCACATGAACATGCTGTCCGCTCGTCAAGACATTGGTGGGTTTATTGACATCATCCGTGAGGTCTTGTATGGCTTTTACGGATGCGGAGCAGATGAGGGTGGTGGCGGCGGTGGTGGCGGTGGTGGCGGTAGGCAGTAGCCGAACCGTTTTGGGATCGCTCCAGGGTAAGAGGAGGTGTTGAATCAGGTTTCGATCGGGATCAATATTAGTATGAATGTGACGGGGACTGTGCTAGCATATCGTAACATGCTAGCTCAATACCTGGAGCTGGGGAATCAATACCGGATGATTTGGGATTGAGATCGTTGCGCTTGCCATAGTTTGGTGGTTCAGTTAGGAGAAATAGGAAATAGGGTCTACGAGGGATATTGTGCTAAGGCTTCGTTCGTAGCATAAGCTCCTGATATGATCCGGAGGCCTCAACTCGATCGGCTCCACTGCCTGCAAGTCAAAATATATAACAGCCACACTACCGATCAACCCTCACAGCAAAGCACCCCGCACCAGCATAATGCAAATGCACATAATCCACCCGCTCATCGCCAAAAACTTCCTCCAACTTCTCCTCCAATTGAACGCCCGACACAACGACCCCATCTATCATCATATGGTCCGCATCAAACGCCCGCACCGAAATCGTCCTTCGCCTTTGCTGGTCAGGCAAACGTCCATCACAGAGATAAGGCATACAATCCGGAAAGTGCACAAAGATCGGGCCCGCGGACGTATAGGGCGAGGAACCGCGGAAGGGATTGTAGGGCGTTAGGAGGACGATTTCAGAGGTCTTGGCGTCAGTGAGGCAGCGGCGGCAGGGGGCGCTGGACTCCTCTGTGACAATTTTGAGGATGCAGGATTCAGAGACTCTGGCTGTGAGAGGGGTTGGGAGGGCAGTGAACTTCATAGTGGCGTTGTCGATGAACTGGGTGGGAGTCGGCAGGCGAATGACTCTGCGTCGGTGGATAGGTAGACGTATTGCTTTGGTCCCGAGATCCATTAGTTTAATGATTTGAGGGGATTTGCATGGACGACGGCTCCTATAAGCTCTATTACATGGTAAGGGTTTGGAATATCGTATTGTTCTCGAACTAACCAACCGGCATGCTCCCTAGCTAGTGTTGCTATGGAAGTGACCAATCGGCTACAGGATATAGTCAGTCCCAGTCAGGCCGGATATACTGTGACGTCCTCGATATGGTCGCCTGCATGTAAGAGAAACAGAATAGGTGGATCCGCTGCAATCCTATTTGATGATTGTAGCATACACGTAGAATGAATACTCCCGGTTCCGCAACGCTCATGTCTCTGAAACTCCCTTCCAACGAGCCATTTGATTTGACTTGCATTGCGTCAATACCACTCGGTTTATCCACCTCACAGCGCGGCCCCTTCAGCCGTTCTAAGGCCACAACGTATGTTGTATAAGCACTAAGAGCAACTGCCTGTCTTCAACATGCTGCAGCGAGAGTGGTAATCGCCGTCAGGCCACGCAGACACTGCGGAGCTTCAGAATATCTAGCCCGGCTATGGCTATTCCAGACATATTTACCGCCATGATGATCACTCCGCGTTGTGCAAGAGAACAGGAGGCTGGTAAGGATGTGGTATTTTCTATGTTCCTGTCGAGGAGAGATGTAAGAGTAGAATCGTTAGAATCATATTCGGGTGTGTGATTTTGGGGGTGAGCGAGGATAGTGGGTCACGCACGCCATTGCAATACTTTGCTTTGGGGGCTTCGAGCAGTTTACTGAAAGTCAGCTGATACCCAGAATGATATGATACGAATGAGATTAATCTGTCCAAGAATGTTTTATCCGAGAACGCTCTGCGTAGCGACACATCCGGCATTTGCGGTCATGAGTACCCCATATTTGTAGTCCCTGCCGCTTTCAATAGGAACTGTTCGAAGACAGGCGTAATCGGTGACATTCCATGTGACTGCGAAGAGAAAGAAAGGTCCCCGATGGCTACTTCAATCGCTTCATATGTGAAAAGACAATAAAGATTAGATAGATCGGGATGGAAACTCGCCGATATGGAGCATGCAACAAACCTAATTCTCGCCAGAATCTGAAAAGCATAATACGATAGATCGGCACCGATGCATGCACATTGTCATGGACGGATGTATACCGAGGGCCTTTACTAGGAGCGGCGTGTAGCTCGTCAGGCCGGAGAGCGTACTCGTCGAGATGAGCCTGAGGAAGGAATGGTGTACAGTCCTGGGTTGCCTGATCGTAGACCATATATCTCGTGTATTGATGCGTACTTTGTGTACCTTGCGATGGCGTTTTCAACGACCATACAACGACAGATGAGGTGTGACTTTACAGGTCAAGTAGCTCCAACGTCCAAAAGAGGGAAGACTTCTTCCATCACCGACTCTGGCAGGGAGAATGAGGACGATAAGATGCAGATGGCGATGGTCATCATGCCTTTGATTATGTGGAAGGATGTCAGTGGTCCTTGGCTTGTGAACAGGGTGATTGAAAGCGTTCGGTGACGATATTTAGGAAGATCCGACGCCACCCCCAAGACCATGCTTGTTGCCCCGGTTAGAATACCAGAACTAATCAGGTTGAAGTGGCAGCAGATACATCTGGCCGAGGGAGAACAGGGTCACTCGCGAGCTTGTTTCGGCTTTTTTATCCTACATCAAGAGGTAGCAGAGGGCCCCTATATGATTACATGTCAGCCATGAACCAGGGACGAAAGAATCGATGTGAGGCTACACCATACCAGGAATATATCCACCACCAAGCAACCAAATAAGCAGTCCGGGAGCGAGGAAAGCAGTCTAATCATGAACAAAGGCTTGAAACGTGGCAACCAGAGCCGACACGAACCACTGGAACGATAATCATTTCTTTGGGCCAAAGCGCTACATCAGGAGATTCGACTGCTTTTTGGTCAGGACTATACCTGCGGACAAGCTAAGAGGAGCTTGGGCCGCTTCCAAGTTCCTTGGAATCGTGCTTGTTTATCCTAGAAAGGAAAAGCGGCTCAACCTGACCTCCAGAAAGTACCGGACCCTGGAAGATACTTAACTAGAACGGAGGGTTCAAGGGTTCGGATATTCCACCAACGATGATTGACAAAAGGTCTTGTGCAAAGATACAATATATCTGCGCTTTTTCAAGGGTCGCTCTGCCGCTACACTCCAAACGGCAAATGTTCGAGGCCAAGTGCATCCATCTACCGCCCCTGGCACCCGAGGCATTCCGCCGATCATGTGGTTGTGGCCGCGGCGGATATTGGCTCATTATTAGTGATAGAGGAGGTTGCATCGTGGGTATCCCACACTACACTAAACTAGGTTCCGGATGGTGTGGAAATCTGTGTCATGGAGGCAGGAGTACTGCCCATCCCGCGCACTAACTGACCGTCAAACTACCTGTGATTAGACCCGCAATTCCGGCTTCAGACGAACATGAAACATGATTAGAAAGAACTGGCTAAGTACGCTTATGCACTATACTCCCAAGAATTTCCAAAGCGATAGGAAAACTGACCTCGAGAGAAACAATGGTCGCCTGCTACTAAATTATCCCTTTTGCCTCTTCTAGTAACTCGACCATATCCGCCTGCATAGCCAATGCCGCTCTCCCTATCGGAGTATACCCCGACGAATCCTAAGATTGGGCCTTGCACTGTACCTCAGCAGCACAAGCACACTGTCACAGTCATCTCACGCCGCTGCGTTCGATGGCGAGGGCCAGGCACCAATGCTTAAGCAGTGGGATGAAGACTGGCCCAAATCCAGTGCTGTTGGGACTAACAGGGACACTGCGTGGAATTGGGGCCAAAATCACTTCAAGTCCTTCACCTTCCATCTCTTTAATTCGGACTCCCCTGCAAGCGGCGCAAACACGAATCCCGCCCTGAATCACAAGCTCAAGCCTGGCAGTGGTACTGAGGACAACATCCGCTGGGTTGTTGGCGCCGTCAATATCCTCGATAATACAAAGTATAGATTCGCCAACGGTAAAAATGCGATGCGTGTCAATTTCGAATATGTACCACCAAAAACGCCAACGAATCCAAATCCAGAAGTGAACCCATACAGGGACCATATATTTTGGGATGATGCAAGGTCCGCTCACAGCTGCCAAGTCGAATTCGATAACACGATTGCTCAAACGAAGTTGTTGAAAAGAGGAGAGCAACCGACACTCGAAGAAATGTTTAACATAACAAGTATTCAGTCCCAAGATTATCTCAGACAGTAGCTAATATATGATACTTTCAGGGGTAACGACCGATCCTGACGATGCAGGAATTGAGATTGGGATTCCTCCAAACTTACTCAATGACGGGATTAGGGGACGGATAACATAGTTGGAGACACCGGACGCGTTGATGCGGATTGTAAGTTCCAGTCAAGACTTATTTTTCAACGATTGTAGTACTGATGTGCTTCCATTTTTCGGATAAATTGAGCAGTCCCACCCAGAGCTGGACCTACCAGCCATGGATGACCTCGCTGACAGACATGCTGCTCACCTTAGACACACTACTAGGAATGGGAAGAATCGCTAGAAAATGGGCTTTTAAAGATTGGCGGGCGCGGGTCTTTTGATGATGGACAGCTTCATACCGCCGTGGTTGATCCTGGCTTACAGATCTCAGGGTGTAGGCAACCCATTCTAACCTAGCGCAGCTCAGTCCATGATGTCTACTTCAATGGCAGTGAAAGGCGAAATCAATTTCAAGATATTCTATGAACACTCAGTAAAATACCATGATAAATAGTTCTATATTTCACGCGACGAACCTATTTTTGCATTTGGCGCCTTTCGGACCTTATACGTAGAGACCTCAGCCTGTTGTCTTCTGTCAGCCGGAGGGTCCTCCCGCCAAGGATGTCACGGGCCTCGCCCTGCTTATATCCCGCTTAGGTCATCGCCACGTGACAATTCTCTGTATATAGTCGGTCCCGCTTCGCGGAACCTCCATTAGTTCTCCATGCTTCGTATTTTAGTT